GCAGATTACGGACTGTGTTCACCACCTTCTCCAGAGTAAACCTGAAGCACCTACGCTGATACTCTGTGATTTTAATCATTGTAGCCTGACTAAAACACTGCCTGGTTTTTATCAGTACGTGAAGTGCAGCACACACTCTGACCACAATGTCATCCACCTGCTTCCAATTTACCGGTCAGTTTTTAAGACTTGTAAACCAGAAATGCAAACAGTGAAGGTCTGGACAAGTGGGGGAAAAAAAAAAGAGGAGCTGAAAGGCTGCTTTCTCTGTACGGACTGGGATATCCTTCTTTGAGGATGCAGGCATTGACAGTGCAGCGGAATCAATCACAGATTAAATTTCTTTCTGTGTCGACTCTATTATCCCCCAGAAAACTGTTAAGCGATATCCAAATAATAAACCGTATATTACTAAAGGTATCCGGGAATGCATCAGGAGGAAGAGAGCTGCCTGTATATCTGGCGACTTGGCAGGTGTTCGTGATGCTCAAAAGGACCTCAATTTCCAAGCGGGCAGAACAGGACCTGTATACAGCTAATACAAAGAAACTGGAATTCAATCAGACAGATGACCAATATGGACATAAAAAGAAAGCCACTGTCTGCCCTAAACGAAACTGCTAGGGCCAATGAACTGAATAATTTTTATTTGCACTTTGATACAGATGATGACAATGTTAAGGTATGTATGGCAGTTTTAGAGAATGTAATTTGTGATATGAACTCGGACAGAATTTTAATTGAATCACATGCTGTTACTAAGGTCTTTAAAACTATACACACTAACAAAGCCACGGGCCCAGATAATATGTCCACGTTTGTGTTAAAGACCTTTGCTGAGGAGTTGTCACCTGCCTGGCATAAATAATTTCAGTTCTCTATAGATAATCATACTGTGCCGGTACTGTGGATAAAATCTGTTATCATCCCGGTACCCAAAAAGGGGTGCCCTCGGGAGGATAATGATTATAGACCGGTGACACTCACCTCAAAACATTTAAGAGGCTTATGTTAGAAAAGTTATGTACAGATGTGGAGCCATTGCTTGATAAATATCAGTTTGCTTATACAAAAAAATCGAAGCACAAGTGATGCCATTGCAACAATAATGCATCTAATTTTGAAGCATCTTGAATGTCCGACTGCATATGCCAGATTACTTTTTGACTTCAGTTCAGCTTTTAACTTAATACAGCCACACATTCTCCTCTGTAAGCTAGCCCAGGCAAAGGTAAATAATTTTTTAATCAAGTGGTATCATTCTTTTCTGTATGACAGGCCACAGCAGGTGAGGTTTAATTTTGCTTTATCTGACATAGCAGTATGTAGTACTGGCGTCCCTCAGGGGTGCGTATCTTCACCATTTTTGTTTACATACTATACAAATGACTGTGTCAGTGTGGAGCCAAATCAATACATAGAGAAATTTTCTGCTGACACCGTTCTACTCAGTCTGCTAACAAAAAACTCTAATTTGAACACCCATCATGCAGCGGTAGAAAACCTTGAGCCCTGGTGTGATGCACATAAACTGCAGATTAACATAAATGACCCTGTGGCCATTTATGGCCATGAGATCGAGCAAGTGAGCTCATTTAAATATCTTGGAGTTCACATTGATAGCGATTTGGGCTGGCGAACACAGGTGACAAGTGTCTGTACCAGAATCCACCAGCACCTTCATTTTTTGCATAGACTTAGACTATTTGGCGTTTGTAAACATATTATGTTGATTTTCTACAGAGCAGTGATTGAATCGATCTTTAGGTATGGCATGACTAGCTGGTTTGGTAATTTAACAGTTGAATCTAAAGCACAGATCTCCAGCTTAGTTAGGACAGTGTGTAAAATTATGGGTACTCCCGCTGGAGCTGTTTGAGCAGGCCATAAGCAGACAAGCTAGAAGTATCTTGTCTGACAATACACATGTGCTTTACCCTGAATATAGGCTGATGAATTCAGGGAGGAGGTTTAGGGTCCCATTGTGCAGGTACAATAGGTTTAAACATTCTTTTATCCCGTTGTAAATTAAATTTGTAAATTATCAAAAGGGAATGTATTCTGTGGGTGTGGGGGTGTGGATTAGAGTGGGGGTGTTTTCTGCAGGAGTTGACCTGGTTAAATTGTATGGCACTTTGAGTATTTTTTATACATGTTAATATGTCTTCTATGTTATGTCTTTTTTGTGCAGCACGCCCTTTGTCCAAGCCAAATTTCTCCCAAAGGGAGACAAATCAAGTTAACCTTACCTATAAAACCTGGAGAAAAATTAAAAAATTAAAAATCTAAAATTAAAAAAAAATTGCATGTGTTAATATACAAAATTTAATAATTCATATACATACACTATTCAAAGGGTGGTTCGTTTATTAAGAGAATTTAATAATTTTATTTAGTGAGGATGCATTGATTAAAAAAATGATCAAAAGTGACAGTAAAAGACATTATAAAGTTAAAAGATATATTCTATTTCAAAAATCAATAGATTCTTTATCAAGTATACTAATATATATATATATATATATAAAATCAGCAAATTAGAATGATTTCTGAAGGATCATGTGACACTGAAGACTGGAGTAATGGCTGCTGAAAATTGGCTTTGCCAAATCGTTAATAGCTATTGTAAATTGTAATAATATTTCACAATATTACAGTTTTTAATGTGTTTTTGATTAAAAAAAGCAGCCTTGGTGAACATAAGAGACTTCAAAAACACTACCAAAATAAATAAATAAAAATACTTCTGAAAAACATACATTAGAATTTAGCACAATGTAGTCTATCCTAAACATCTTCAGTCTGTATACAGCATTTTGAATTCCTCTGTCAGACTGGTTAGTTATTGACATCATGATCAAAATGAATGCTGAATCCAGAGTCAACTGACATGGCGCCCATGCTGGCACTGATCTCTCATGTATTACTTTATTTTAGAAATATACTGTGTATTTGCTACCTTTTAGATATCTTTTGTCATACCTGTGGAAAAAGCTATACCCAAGCAGGTGGTGAAGCAGGTAATGGCGATGATGTCATCAACGCTGCATGCTGCCATGAGAAGAGTAGGTATACCCTGCTCTAAACCGTATCCTTCCTTATGCAGGAGCAGCATTGACGGAACCACAACAGCAGGAGAAACGGCCCCAAGAACAAACCTACAGAGCAGAAAACAGCAGCAATTAGGTTGGTAGCAGCAGACATTTCAGAGAGGTTCTTGTCTTATCAAAATCAGTGGTTTACCCTAAAATAAAGCCCCAGACCCATGGAAGACCCAATATTAAATAGGAGACCACAGCCATAGTGGTTGCCTCGCAGGTGAGAGGGAACATGGACAAACGTAAACACACGGCTTTCAGCTTCTTCAAAGCCTGAAATACACATTAAAGCAATATATTAGGACAACATTTATCTGAACAAATTATTCATACTTTACAATCTTCAGTTAAGTGAAAAGCCTTCGTGAAATGAAACTGGATATCAACAAACAATATGGTGTTTGGCTGAAAGAGAATTCTAATAGTCTGCGCAGCCATGGGCAGCATTCGTACAGAGGGTCTGTGTTAGTACAAGCGTCAACTGAAGACACCAGTCGAGGGACATAAATGGTCTCTTCAGTCATACTCGGACTGGGGCTCTCGGAGCGCTTTGGAACCACCAGGACTGTCTGACTGACAGTAAGGTGATGCTGTTGGAGAAAAAGAAGAGTGAAGAGAGGAGCAGTGATCTTTGCAGCAAAATCTAAATTTGCAAATGTTTTTTTCCAGTGCAGCTGTAGCATATAATACATAGTTCTGTATGATGTATTTATACCTATTGTTTTTCACATAAACCTGGATGTAAACAAAGGAAAGAAATAAAATAAATGAAATAACTAAGATTTTTTAATGTTCTTGAAGTCTCTTATGCTTTCCAAGTTTGCATTTATTTGATTAAAAATACATTATTATCAATAACATTGGGAAATATTATTACAATTTAAAAAAACCATATTAGAATAATTTCCTGGAGTATCAGCTGGAAATTCAGTTTTGCCATCACAGAAATTAATTACTTAAAAATTATATATTAAATATATTAAAATAGAAAACAGTTACTATAAATTTCTATTAATCTACAATAATAATCATTATTACAATATCAAGAGCAATAATACAGTATAAAACAATGATTTTGTCATCATATTGTAGCTTTTTAGAGTTTGCAGAGATTACTATAGGCTATTAACGTTATGCAGTTTTTGTGTACATACACGTACATGAGCAGCAGTAAACAGACTGTGCAAATAAACATAAAAACCATGTCAGATGCAGATTCTGTTCCACCTTTGCAGTGTAAAGATGGGTTTGATTGACTGGTGGCAGTCTATAGTATTGTGACTGATTGTACAGCAGAAAGTTTGAGTGAGATGTTGAAAAGAAAAAATGACAAACATTTTTTTTTATTATTATTAAAGGGGTCATATGATGCTGCTAAACATAACATTATTTTGTGTATTTGGTGTAATGAAATGTGTTTATGCAGTTTAATGTTAAAAAAAACATTATTTTCCACATACTGTACATTATTGTTTCTCCTCTATGCCCCGCCTTTTTGAAACGCGTCGATTTTTACAAAGCTCATCGGTCTGAAAAGCAAGGAGTGCTGTGATTGGCCAGCTATACAGTGCGTTGTGATTGGCTGAATACCTCAAGCGTGTGACGGAAATGTTACGCCCCTCACCATACTGTTGATGCCGTGTCCCGGCCGGAGCAACGAGACAAAAACATGAAAACCCATTACAAACGAGGCATTTGTTGCATCCAGTGGGGACATAATTACTGATTATAATGACTTAAACTGTCTTTTTACGCGTCGCATCGCGCCGCGTAAACATAAAACCCTGTCTGTATTTAAGATCGAAGAAATGACAAACAACAAGTGCTACTCTACCCTTACTAACTATTAATATGCAGCAAATTAGGAGTTTATTGAGGCAAAAGTTGTAGTTATTAGTTAATAGTGAGAACTGGTTCCCAAACTAAAATGTGACCGAAATTACATAAGGTTTTTGCTTATTACTATATGTTAATCAAGAGAGGAATAAAGCAACTCTGTGGTAACTTTTCTATCAAACATTAAACAGACAGCTTGTAGTTTTCAGCTCTTGCTTGATCTTTCTGTTGCCATCTATTATATTTTGCAAACGTAAACAAGTTTTTGGAAATCTAGTTTAGTTTTTTTTTATGGTAACAAAATGTCCTGACTATTGACTATTGTATAAACTACTAGCCACAAAAAAACAAACAAATCAAAAGTCTACCTGGGTTCATCGCTGTGTCCTTGTAGTGTAGTCGTGTAGAGAAGTCCCCGCACAGAGGATGATGAGTTGTAAGCAGGAGTCTGCTGTGTGTTTGCCTCACTCTCTCTCGCGCACATCTGACTGTGCGAGCTTTACCGTTGTCATGGTGACAGCATCTTTGGCCCATTTGAGTGTTTCTTTTAGTTGCACAAAACACGAGTTTCCAAAATGTGTTCAGATTATAGCATGTTAAATCTTGTTTTAACATGAGAGCGATGTATGGTTATTGAGACTGAACCCTTGTTTTACCCTGTAGTCGACTCACTTTCATCAGATGAGACTCTATTGTGGTGGGATTAAATAACCACATGACCGCTCAAAATCTCTGCTGCTGTGCTTTTGAGCGGTGATTCAGTCCGCCACTGACGGGAAGTTCGAGTCGGTTCTTTCGAACAAATCATTCAAAGAACCGGATCAAAAACGATTCAGTTATTATTTTACGTCATCACGCGGCCCCTGGCATGTTAAATGGTTTGAAGGATTTGAAATAAATACGTTTTGATCACAGTTTATAAAATATGTTAGATCTTGCATTACCACAAAAATGTAAGCCTATATTCATCATAAAATTGCCTTGACATTTTAAGACTTTATTAGTTTACATGACTTTTTCAGGTCTAGAAATAACACTTTTAAAGGGGTCATATGATGTTGCTAAAAAGAATATTATTTTGTGTATTTGGTGTAATGAAATGTGTTTATGCAGTTTAATGTTAAAAAAAACATTATTTTCCACATACTGTACATTATTGTTTCTCCTCTATGCCCCGCCTTTTTGAAACGCGTCGATTTTTACAAAGCTCATCGGTCTGAAAAGCAAGGAGTGCTGTGATTGGCCAGCTATACAGTGCGTTGTGATTGGCTGAATACCTCAAGTGCGTGACGGAAATGCTACGCCCCTCATGTTA